CAGCAAAACACAATGGATTTGAGGCACAAGACCTGGTAAGTGAACCAGACATAGCATGCGATTAGCGCCAAAACACAATGGACTTGAGGCACAAGACCTGGTAAGGCAACCAGAAATAGCATGCGATTAGCAGCAAAACACAATAGATGTCTCCTTTCAAATGTTGGCCTTGGAAGTCAGGCAACTCCAGAAAGTCATAACATTCCAGAAATCCTTAACAAATGGACCTTTGAAGTCCAAAGGTCATGACGCTGGAAACATGTTTAACATACGCATGTTTAGGCTAGGTGCTCCTGGCCTTACTACTAGGAGCAAGAAGCTACTATATAGGAACAAAGGGGATTGCTACTGAGAATTCTCGATCCCTCAGGTTGCACTTGGGGTACTCAGTGGCCCTGCTGGCGGTTGCTGGGCAGTCTCCTCAGCGTATCCGTAAGGTACGCATCATGGTGATGCATGCTGGGACATGTGCTGATCCAGACTCAGGCCAATAATGAAGATTCATTTTGGCTTGATCTCCAGGCTCTATTCAAATGTTTTTTTCGGTTGCAGGGCACTGCCCCTCCCACGTAGATTCTTGATGCATTTTGTATTTTCTTGATGGAGCGCAGGAACGAGTTGGCGCAAGAGTGGAGGAGCAACCAACACTACGTAGCATGCGCCTCATGTGAAATCAAGGTTCATGCGTCTAGCGGCCAAATTTGAACTGCAAGGCAAACAACACCAGTAAGGGCGACAATGTTTATGTCGAGGAGCTGTCGGATGACGAGCGTCCCGTCTGCACATTGTCGTATAGCATTTTTGCAAGCGCCGATAAGTGAGAGCGAGTCCATGCGTGAGGTTCAATGAGATTTTCGACCGTGGAGAGTTCATTTATGACAAGAACAGGCGCAGCGCCCAGTCGGATCATAAAAACCAATGCAGCGTTTGCGCGCCGGAGCCGCGTGGTTTGTGAGACATATTGGCGTGGTTTGGCGTGCAGGAATCCCTTTGACCACGGTTTTGCGCGGAATTGCTTGAACTTCTGGTGCAAGCCCCGCTGGCCCGCTGTGCCTCGCCAAGCTTCGTGTTGCAACGGTCCCTATTTCCTTTGATGCTCTCAGTTTTTTTTTTGATCGAGGATTCAAAGGGAAACTTCTGAGCTTCCTCATGGCTCCAGTTTCACCCGCTGAAACCTAAAGAGTTCAGCGCGTGTCAATGACATTCTGCACTGCGCATACCATAAAGGCAAAAAAACGAGCCGGCTGTGCGCGCAGGGTTTGTCAATCATGCAGCGGCCCGTTCTTCTGATCAAAAGCACGCGCGCAGAGCGACAAGCTGTCTTGTGTATGGACGTAGGTGCATTTCGCAAGCGCAGTCAGCCTGAAGGACCCTAGAGCAACTCGAGTCGTATCCTATACTTGAGCATTTGACGAAAATCCTAATATACATGTACTTTAGTAACGGGCTGCCCGTACTGGTATTGAAACGAGGCAAGCCCTGCAGAACCGATTTGGGCTACCCTATCAGAGAGTGAGCCCAAAACATTGAAACATAGAGAATCGATATGTGGCCAACAACAAATACTTTTGGCACTGATGACAGACAAGAAGTCTTGTCATTTTTTGGTCTACCGCTCATATTCTGGAAGCTTGTCATCGACGCACGCTACTATGATCTTTTTTTAAACGCCATAACTATCCCACCTATCAAGGCGGCAAGTCGTAGGCACTGACCTACTTCCAGAAACTATGCATACAACCAACCTAACCGGCACACTCACTGTCCCCACCATTGACTGCGATCAAATAAGCAAATGCATGAAGTGTGAAGGTGAGGTGATTTCACACTGAGATGCACATTGGGGTTCACATTGAGGATATTCACACTGAGAGGATTCTTGCGACTGCTTTCTGAATATAAATTTTTGAAAGTGTGGTTGATATTGCTTTGCTTGTGCAATAATTAGTTCTCTCATATTGCGATTTTACTTGTTGAAATGTTGTCTTGGCTGAGCTTGGTTATTGATACACCTAATATCCCATGCCGCATGCCTTTTTCATGTTGTTAGTCCAGCAGAGTCTTGGTCTACCCACCCTGCGGTTTGTCGTTTCTCTTGGCATTGCTGATGTTGTGGAGAAAGTAACTTGGTGTTGAGGGTGTTGCCTTTCTCTTCTGAGCACGTGTCCGAGTAATTTGAGTTTCTTCTCTTCAAGTTTCTCTGTCATGGGTTTTACTTTCCTGAATGGCCCTGCAGTTGGCGCATTGAGCGTTTCGTTGGCTTCGTTGGCTGTGCTGTAAACCAACTCATTGGTATTTTCACGTTGGACGTAGGTAGTTCGCAAATTAAGGATTTTTCCAAGTCCTTTGAGCTGGAATGTGTTGAGAAGCTGCGCCGCCCCCTGCGTGGGTTCTAAAGTTTCCAAACCAGGCATCGTATACTAACAGCTTCCATTTTTGCTGCAGCGAGTGTTGAGCAAAAAATGTCCAATTTTTTGAGGACTGCCATAGTTGCCGAGATGCGCTTCCTAATCTCATGTTTTGATCGATTTTCTTGGTCACATGTATGCCGAGGTAAGAGATATCTTCGGACGTCTGCGTTCGCTGTCCATTGGAGAAGAAGATGTTACCATTTGAGTTGTATGAAATAAAGGCGCATTTGTCTTGATTAAGCTAATGGGCTTAAAACCGCGCGTGTAGTGAAACTGATTTTTCATTCAGTCCTTTGGGGGGGCAAGAACACACACACAAACGCTCGCATTGGAATATGTAAGATGGGACACGGGGGGGTTAGGGGGAGGGGGGTTGGGCGGGGGGCTAGTGAATGTTCATGTTGTGTGCATTTTTTTAAAGAAGCCGCACACGCGCACGCTGTGGAAGAGGGGGTGGGGGTTGAGGGGTAGGTTCCCCAAAGTGGCAGTATGCCGCCGTGAAGTACACTGGACCTGATCGAAAACACCAAGTAAGACCCTCTCTCACGTTCAAGTGTGCGAGCGACGACGAGCGCACTTTTCTATGGCGCGGAGTGCAGGTATTGGGCTTGAGCCAAATGAATTAAGCGGCAGCTGACTGAAGAGAATGCATGTACAAGTAACTACGGACAAAAGGCGCTACGCACGATTAGCGTAGACACGCCTAGGGGAACCTAGGACCCTACAAAACACCGGGGGGGGTGGGTAGGGGCTAAAGACGTTGCATGTTCAGCGCATCGTAGTGCGTACGAAGATAAAGCCAGACACACACACAGACAGGTCGGTAGGCACAGGTGGTCGGGGTGTGTCAGTTCTTTTTTTTTAGACGTCGACACATGGAAACTTGGCTTGGTGGTTACCGACTGCTTGTTTATTCCGAAGTTTTTTCGTTCGGGGGATTGTCAGATGCTTGAGGTCAGGAAGGAGAGCTGCTCATCCACACCGGTGCCATTGATGGTATGTGGCGTTTGTGTAAGGAGTCGGTCCCAAACATCATGAAGTTCGTTCGACAATGGCGCTGGCACCAGAATAAAGACGATCTTCTGACGAAGCTGGGTCAGAAGTTGTCCCACAGACTGTGATGACGATGCTGGAGGATGAAACAGCGCACTTTTATTGGCGCGAAACCACAGTCTCGTAGCATTTCGATGTCAAAATCGCAACGATTTTTGAGTTGTTTTCATGTACTACATGCTGCAACAAACCTGTCGCATCAATGCAAAACACAGTCACACACCGGACATTCGTCATCGTTGACCACGTGAAGACTTGACAAATGTCTTCAACCGCACGTGCGGAAACGAGCCCGGCGGGTTGATTAAGCTTGAAGATAATTAGGTTCTGCTTCCACTAAATGTAAGTACTTGGTTGCAAGCCCACTTTTGTTTTCAATAATGTATCATCTGCATAAAGCAGTTCATTGAAATTGATACCTTGGAAGGTCTTCGGATTTCTTGGATCGTTGAAACCACTTTTTACATCTTGAAACATGCAGTGCGTTGTAAGGATGAAAAGATATGGGTTCAAAGGACATCCTTGCCGCATTCCCGTTCTTTGTTTTAGCCATGGACTGAAGGGGGTTTTGACAGCAACTCTGAACTCAGGGTTTCATAGAGTGATTTAATTGCAGAATATTGCAGATATGATATTATCTGGTATATTCAATCTAGATAAAATGATGCAAACATTTTTTCATGGTCAAGTTTATCAAACGCCCTTTCCCAATCTAAAAAGATGAACCACAGGGGGTCGTTACCCTGCTCGGCGAAATCAGCGAGTCTTCTGACACAGAATATTGGTTCTACTGTGGGCCTAATTCTTCTGAAACCGAATTGTGTGTTGCCCAAGTGTCCGTCAATAATGTCAAAAAACTGTTTTTCTGAGAATGTAGGCAACCATTTTGTAACTTGTGTTCAGTAATGAGATAGGACGACAATTTTCGGGATTATGTGGATCTCCCTTTTTGTAAATGCTTGCTATCTGTGCTCGGGTAAAATCATCCGGAACATATTTGTGTCGCCAAAAATCATTGAAACATGCGGTCAGGCTTTGAATATTGCCGTGGTCTAGACATTTGAACAGTTCTGTGATTGATACACCCATCTGGTCCTGGCGCCTTATTTGTTTTCAATTTGTCGATTGCACTTTCTACTTCTCAGTAGTGTATCAAGAGTATCATACGGTAAACCATTACTAATGAGTTTAGGTCGATTTTCCAGTGCTGGTGGATGTGCAATTGGACTCCAATTTTGCTATACAGGTAATCTGCCATGGCGCTAGCTTTATTTTCAATGGGATTACGATTGCCATGCATGTCCTTCATGCTGTAGAAATTAGGGGTGAACGTTTTCCTTTCCATGTTTATATGCTGCCAACATTTTTGTGTGTCCGGTAAATCTTCAAGGCATTGAATTTTAACTTGGCGTTTGTTTTTGCGCTCCTGTCTTGCAATGTCTCTGTTGTGTCTGGTTTCATCCGCCACATTGCCATGATTTCTCGCGTTCTGGCGTTCTTCGATTAAGTTCCACGTAGAGGCTGTTAGGTACTCTCGCTTTTGTTCCTTACGCTTCTTGCTGAATGTTGTCCGCGCTGCCGCCTTCATAGTTCCGATGAGAATGGAACAGTTGTTGTGGCGTCTCTCAATGTCTTGGATGAGGTGGAAACGGATCAAAGTATTGTAAGCATCTAATTGTTCAGCGGAGGGCTTGTGGTACCTTTCAACCGTGACTGTTGTTGCTGTACGTTGGGATTTTAATTTGACACGACTAGTGGCAGTAACTATTGCGTGATCGCTATTAACGCAATGCTTGGTCTGGACTCTACATCTACAACTGCATTTTAATACTCAAACGGGGCCAGGATAAAGTCAAGTTGGGCAAACCTGTCTGTCGTCCACGGCGCTTGGAATCCTTCAGTCCGTGTTTCTTTGTATGTGCAAGTTCAATCAGGAGATTTGTTGAATCGAGGCAAAAAGCTACGAGGTTTTGTCGATTTTCTTTTTGGTCTTCCGGCAGTATCGGCGCATGTTGGCTGCGTAGGCCCCACACATGTATCCCCATGATCCTGTCTTCTACACCAGCTATACGGCGCAGTCTTGCGTTCGCATCATCGAGAATAAACGGATTTTGTCGGGCGTCAGTTCGCACTATTTCCTCAAGTTTGTTCCATGCATGTTTTTCTAAGGACGTCCGCTGTGTGGAGCAATTGGTTAATGAGTCTGACATCTGGCCCGCAACAGCGGAGTTTGATTTCAATCAATCTACTGTCATGCGGCGCACAGTCCTTAATAGAATCAGCAAGCCTGGGTCCAATGACAAATCCTACTCCATGTTCTATGATCCTTTGTGGATCTCTCGGTCTGCGTGAGTGCTGAAAAAACATATGCATTTACCACCGTGTTGCATTTTCACTTCTTCGGAGCTGTTCACTTTCGTGTCTTGCATTGTAATCCTGCATTCTGATCAGTTCTCTTTTCCCTGTCAAGCTGCAGTTCAGTGTTGCAATTTGCAATTTTTCACCGTATGGCAGGCGGCGTATGTTTGTGGGCGCTGGGCCATTGTGGCCGGGTAAACTGTGGGTGACGTGCTTTGAGTAATGGTTTGAGTTTGTTTTCCGACGTTTTCTGTTCTGCTTTGTCCTCCTCTCGGTCCGTCTGTGTTCTACCAGCTCTCTGTGAGCTTCCCAGGCGGAC